AAAAAAAAAAAAACAAATTAAGGAATATATTATAATCTTATATTTAATCTAGTTTAATAATCTAATCTAACAAAAGAATCTAAAAAAAAAAAGAATTAAATTTCGTAGAATAAAAATGGTATCCTTGACAAAAAGTATTAACTATTATTTATCTTAAACGACGTATTTATCTTAAACAGTGGTTTCAGTTTTCTAAGATTTTCGTACAAACCCATCCATGAATATAGGCAAAAGTAGCAGATGGCCACCGAAGAATAAGCTCGTACGAAATCAGCAATATTGTCAACAACAGCAACAGCAGCAGCATATTCAGCAACAATTATCCTATAACCCGAAACCTTTGGTACTGTATGATCAAACAACGAACAATGCCCCACCACTTGCACCGACTACTTCGTTTTTAATTGCTTCGTCAACATACACGCACGGCTCATTTTCTGGAGATCAGTATAACAATTCTGGAGTCACGTTGATACCGCAGCCGTACTTTAAGCCCCCGGATGTACAAACATTTTGCTTGATTCAAGATCGACAAAATATTCAACAACAAGAGCAACCATCGCATAGCTCGTATTATAATATCTCAAACACTTGCAACTTACAAGCAATTAACAGTACTTCAGCATTTCAATTTCCCAATCTCGGTCCTTACGCGGCTACGGCAAATTTCACGAACAGTCAAGTCACGGGTCCCGTTCAAACCATATACTCCAATCAAATCTTCCCTAATCCTCCAGCGAATTTAGTTTATGGTAGTTTACAAAGAGATAAACCTGTCGTTTCTTCTGCTACACTCGACAAGAAAAGCAAGATACCTACAGTTAACACGTCACAAATCACGCCGACATCATCTGAAAATTACAACGAATGGCCATGTCAAGCAATCACCTCTCCTTTTAACAACTTATTCAGCATAAAACCGAATGCAGACGATGAGACAAACCGAGAGATCATCGCAAATTCTTTGGAAAAAACCACGTCGGACGTATCTACGAAAACCCAAGAAGAACATTATTCCGACGAATCGTCGGCTAGCTTCGATTTTACAATCGAAGCTGAGAAAATGGTCTCGGCGCTTTGCAACATATCTTCGAACGACATTAACAAAGAAGAAACGAAAACAGAGAAGTCGAGTTCAACACCGTTGTTTAACGGAGCTGGCGATACCGCGTCGAATAAAAATAGTTGGTTTGCCGAATTTTGTGCAAACTATGGAACTGGTACCTCGATAGCTATTCAAACGGACGGACCGTGCCTCGATAGGACCCAATATCCAGAATTGTTGCGAAAAGTTATCTACTGGGGATGCACGGAAGGCGAGATCCTTTTAAATAATAATTCCAAAACGAACGCTAGATGCAATTGGTTGAGAAATCTTTGTACCGCCACCAAAACAGCAGTTACCAAATCTTCCACTTGTTTCCCAATCTTCGCCGGTGATCGTGTTTTCATTGGTGATTTGATAAACGCTTTGTTACGCATTAGCAACGGCTGGCTCATTCTTGATAATTATTTAAACAAGCAACATTATCCAAGCCTGGACGATAAATTCGACTGCGAGTTGCTGAGATGCTTTCGTCTGTGGGAAGAGAGCACGCACGAACTGCTGAATCGAATCGTCCATACGTTCTTAAAGCTGGAAGAGAACGGTGATGTTTCTAATTTCGAACAAAAATCAGAATCATTTGGAACCTCTTTTCCAGGTGACGTTTCAATTTACACGAATCGTGACTTGCTCAATTCGCCTTCAACTATGATTATGTCGAAGCAGAAGTCCGATAATAAAAGGACCAATCAAGATTCCTGTAACGGTGCTCAGCTGTCAACCGGAAACCTGCGAAATTTCAGCCTCTACAATGTTAACCAGGAGAAACAGTCGTCCATCCAGAAAGAATCGAAATTACGAAGTAAGTGGACTATTACTGAGAATCTAACAACAATAGATAGCACGAAATCCGTGCCTGATATGTTCTTAGGGCACGCGGAATCTGGAAGTCAGGCGAATAGTAGATTTCGTTCGAGGGGGAATTCGTCCTCTGCCAAGACAGATATGTCCGCGCAATCGGTGAACGCAGAATTCTTTCATCTGAGAAGCAAAATTCTTACGGAGAGTAATCAAGATACATGTAGACAATGGTCATTCAAGGAGAAGAAGCAAGAGTTTCCTGACAATAAAGTTTCGTCGCAGGAAAATGTTGATACCATATTTAGACTACAACGTCAATTAGATGAAAATTGTGAGAGCAATTACGCTCAGAAATGCTTATCAAGGGTGGAATCGTCGTTCCTGAATCCTTCGATTAATTTAGAATCTGTGTACTTTCCATCTACTAACGAACACGAAAATTTTTATCACAGTTACGCTGTTTGTCCACCGTATGCAGTGGATTACGGAAACAAAAGTTCGAAAAATTTCGAGCAGAATCACATGAATAAAACGAACATGGATTTAGTTTACGTTGGCAAATCATCAACAAATCAACTGGAACTGGCCGCCGTGCCAAAAGATAAAATGACGTTACTCAGTCAAATAGAACCAAGTATTCCGGAAAAATCATCGGAAGAGATGACTGCCAATTTGTCAGCCTGGTTTGCCAGTATGAGGAACTCTGATAACCGACAAATGCCATTTATGAATCTGACAGATATGAGTACAGAAACAGTTATACCGCGAGGATCAACGCGTCCAGAAGTGTTGAAGAATACGATGGATCTCAATAACTGTATAAGACAATTGCACATCGACGCAAATCGTCAGTTCCAAACGCTGCAGAATATACAGAGCGTCCAAACTGCACCTTGGAACGCATACAATTTGATCAATAATCGTACTCAAGTACAACAAGTCTCTGAAGAGTATGACAGTTCTGAGGATGTTCGAGTATATATGAAACCAGGAAGCTACAATGTTCCAAAGAAAAGGCATCAAAGAAGATCCAATCGTCGTTTAGAAAATTCATCTCGAAACGCTGCCAACGGGTCCTCGAACAATCATCGCAGTCATTATATCAACAACAAAGAGAAGACATTCTGCACTCCAGCATCGTTAACACCTGCGTCCCGACCTTCTACGTCCATATCTAACAACGTTAATACTTCTGCAAATATAATGAAAGTACCTTTCCCGGCGACTCCTGTCGCACCGCCTCCGATTTTCTCCCTCGAAAGTTCACCTAGGATTTTAAAGCGATCCAACACATGTAATTATACCGTGTCTGAGGATGTTACTTGGAAAGCAGCCTGCGCTTCCGCTGAAATCTTATTAGAGGCATTGAACGTAAAAGAAGATGTGGACGTTAAGAAAACGGAGATCAATCCTATTGACGTTACCGAAAAGTTTGATAATGACAAAGAGAACAATGACGATGACACGACGTTTCAAGCGACGCAAGATCAAGAGAAACTAGGAAGAAGTCTTCCGAAAAATTTGAAAGACAATAATGAGGGTTGCGGCGGTGTTTCAAGTTACGAAGCATCCGAAGATGACTCTGGCTCCATGAATCACTTTTCCCCCAATACGAGTATCAACGAAGCTTTACAGTTGCCTGGTAATAAGAATGGTAATAATTGTAATCGTTTGAGGTTTATCATAAATATTGCTTCTGTCGGAAGAATGAACTTTTCATTCTTTATATGGTCAATTTGGAAAGAAACAGTCTGCGTTTTATAAATTCTGTATAATTATATTATTAATCATGAAATATCGGACATTAATTGTAATTATTTAATGAAAATTAAATTTAATCATTTTAATACTAGAAGGACGGAAATTTGAAAGTTTCAGATTTTAATAACGTATAATTATAATAGGAAATCTTTTTTTAAAAAATATTTGATAACATAGTATACTTAGAATCAAACAAGCACTGTTATTTGTCTCGTATGTATGAAAAATTGAAACATAAATGAAAAATGTATGCCTGATACCATACTAACCCTAGAACGATATTGTGTGGTTGTCTTACCAAATTATCGTATCTGTAGATGTGATATAAATTAAACTTCCTCTTAAATCCTTTTAATTTATAAAATAACAGAAAAAAACAAGTTTTCTATACATTTGCATTCTTTACTTTAATGTTTTCAATGCAACGAAAACTTATGACAAATCAACTCATTTGAAGTATTTACTTGTATTTAGAACAAATGATGGATTATTTCTGAAATTGTTTTAAAATGAAATAAATTATATTTTGTATTTATTTATTGAAAACTACTTATAGCAATTGGAATAGCCAGGAACATATTATTGAAAAATCTCTCACATCGAAAGAAAAATCTCTCTTGCATTTCAAAACGATTTTTTTATTGTTAAAATATTTTAAATATTTGGTTTTGATATTCAATATAATTTTACGACGTTTCAATATAATTTTACGACGTTTTTTGTATGTTTCACGCTTCTCGTAAATAAATATATTGCAAAAAAAAAAAGAAAAATATTTGAAGAGAGAACATGATGAAAAAGTGAGCAGGACAGCAAGATTAAAATGTCTAAAGAAAA